CGAACGATGGCTGGCAGAAGGTGAAATACAGGGGACGGCACCACCCCCTTCACCCAAATCAACACATTCCGACGCATCAACCCCTTAGCTCTGGAAATCATGGACGCCTGTTAACGGCAATCGTTACCACCGATTGCGATTCGAAGATGAATACCCCTTTGATTTTGATTTCAAATCAGAATTGAGGCCCAATCTAAACACCAATCAGAGAATTAGAGAGAAAATCTACAGGAACGGGAAGGAATTCACAACCGGCCTTAGCAAGACCCAAGTTGGGAAACCACCGTCCGGAAAAGCACAAAGCCACCCAAATCATCGGCCGGAAACTCACACAGCTGAGCTGCCATCTACTTCAGCGTCAGGGCCCGTGGCTGACAGGCCTGTTGTCGAGAGTCAGTCCGTCGTGGAGACATTATCACCAGGTCTCGTGGGTGACATCCAGTCTGGTATGGAGACAAGGTCAACTGCTACCATCACATGGGCTGACCTCGTTAGGATGGATAAAGACAAACAAACAGACAAAGCTCTCCACACCCCATCAATTACGAATCACGACTCTCTGCTTAAAGAAAACCCAATTAGTGTCCAGGACTCAGATATCAGTATATGTAGGGACCGTGTCGGAGAAAAAAATCAAGAGGCTCCGATGGATGATTTATGCAAAGAAAACCCAATTAGTGTCCAGGACTCAGAAATCATTGCAAATACAAAGCGGAGCTTCTTACTAATCCCCATGGGCCCACAAAATTCCAATTTAAAAGATTTCATGACACTTTTTTCCAATTTTGTTGGACTGTCTAATTTGGTGCAGGAGATACCAATGCATAGGCTACAACAAACAACGTCTTTTACTGAGGAGCCAACATCAATATCTAAGCTTATTTTTGAGTCCCAAACATAGTTAGTTTTTTTCCGTTTAAAACGCGTTTTAAACACGTACCGTTTTTTTGAACAAAAAAACGCGTTTAAAACGAAAAATAATGTCGGTCCGTTTAAAAAGGAAAAAAACTCCTACTTCCCGTATAAAACGTATTTTTTCCGTACTTTACAAAAAATAGAAACATGAACTGATCAATTGAATTAGTGCATTAAATGCATAAGAGATCAACAATAGCTTAAAAGCAAAAATGAAAACCTCCTTCTCGTGACCCCATGTTTTTGTATTGTTACAATGCAATTATTAATCACTAAAATTATTTGCATGGTGGCTAAAGCTAGCTTCCCAAAAGACCAAAAGTTGAAATATTATTGGAATTATGATGTTTTCCAATCAATCATATCAAAATTAAGGATTTTCTAAACCTGACATATTTTTAGTATAAACTTTTACACATAAACAATAATAAGCATAGCAGTCGCACAACGTACTTTTATATCATATGTCATTCATCATCTTGATGAAAATCGATCATAAGTTTGACTTGAGTGTTATTTGACGATTATATAAAGACAATGATTTTAACTTAGTCTCATTCTATTGTTATTATTCCTCATTCTTTTGACTTTATTTTGCAAAATTATGTCTTGAATTTAATTAGTATTTTTATTTTTTGATCAACTTATGAAATTACAAATTATTCTTTTATGTGGTAATGAGATTTGCTACTTGAATATGTGTATACTTTTATTTTATTTTTTACTATATATCTTATTTTGTGAAGTATATACTATAAATGTTCAAAATAATACCCCGTATTTTTTGTCCAAATTTTTGTAACATATACCGTATTATACACGTATACGTATTCACACGTTTTATAAAAGTCAACGTATTTTTCAACGAATTTTTGACCGTCTTTTTCATTCTTGTTACCGAATAAAACACGTACGTATTAAACCTCGTTTAATTCCCGTACCGTATTTAACTAACTATGGTCCCAAATTCGGGAAGCCTACTTAGACAAACAATGGTCTCCAACTCCAGTAAAACATCACAAGCTTGTTCAGACTTACTCAGACGCTTCAGACGTCTATTATCAATCAGATGACTCTTTTTTCATGGATGACTTTCTAAGCCATGCAACAGAAAGCGAACGCCGCCCCCTTATCTCAATTTCGGCTGAAATTAGGAAATCAAAGTTCTACAGAGCAATTTGCAGAAAATCTAAATTTGTTACCCCAGAAAAGTGTCTACCAACGGAAAATTTGAACACACAACTCAAAATCTACAGGAAAACTCAAAAGAATAAAAGGCGGCACAACATGACAACCAGGTCTCAGACTAGAGAATTTCCTTGGGTTTAGTTCTTAGTTTTTAGTTTGCTTTCTCTATATAGTTTTTATTTTCTTTCCCTTTTTTTCCTATTCGTATTGTAATGTTTACTTTTTTTCAATAAAATTCCCTTTTTTTCAAAAAAAAAAACACACTAAATAACCAATAAATAGACAATAATAAGACAATAAACATATCAACATATAGGTGATGTTTAAAAGTTAATGTAAATGTATGACAGAAATACAAAATACAAAGATAACACATCTGAGCACCAATGAAAGTGAAGTACAATAAAAATTATTGTTAATATGTCTTTTTATTGAATATCCATAAAACAGAAAGACATAAGTGATAGTAAATGTTTCTAAAATAAAAAGTTTATATAGTGAATAGAACAACAAAAGTTGAAATGGAGATATACATATTAAGGTCTAGAAACTGATATAGGATTGGTGCAAGATTTCTTGTTGTGACCACCCTTCTTGCACCGACAACAACGTTGACGAGATGGAAATTCACCAATCGATGGTATGCACTTCTTTTTGGGTCTACCAAGTGGACGTGTCAAACAAGTAGGTGGTTTACATATATCTGCTCTCACATGACCTGGAATCTACCAATCAAATCAAGAACCAATAGGGTGCATCTCTCCAGTATATGTGCTAAGCCATGCATGTGTGAAATAATACTTAGAGATGTAGTCATAGCATGATAAGCCTCAACGGTGACTAACTGCAGCAACCCCGTGAACACATATAAAATGCTCCAGTTGAAAAACACGACATGAACATGTCTTTTCCTTCAAATTAACAACAAAGCTTCTGGAGGTTTTGTCCACAACTTCAAACTCATATGCATTGGCAGGCTTCACTTAAACATGAGTAACAAAAATGGAAAGCAGTAAATCGAAGTCTATTATTATAAAAAATAAACAACAATAAACAAAGGTATAAACATGTAATTAATTTACCAACATCATAGAGGACTCAGAATGGAAAGAACGTAGCTTGGTCTCAAAATATTCAGACAGAATAGTTTTATGTTTTTCAGCAGTTTCTCGACGCTCGCAAAACCATTTCTGCATCCCGTCCTGCAGGAAATCAATCAACTTTGCTATAGGGTACTCCCGAGGGATACGATCTAAATCATTCATTGACTCGACATTGTTAGATGTCATCACAGAGTACTTAGTGCGCCTACTGTAAAACGGGTCCATTTCTCAAAACCAATAACACTCAAATAAGGACGAATACCAGCGTCTTCAGAATCCAGTGAAGCTAAATACTCTTCAAGTTCAGTAGGAGAGGCAACCCTGGTTGCCTGGTTAAACTTCCATGCCAACCCATCACAACCTTTAAACTTTGTTCTAATGTTCCCTAAAATGTGTTGAACACAATATCCATGTTCAGCGTGTGGAAAAACTACCTTTGCTGCATGAATAATCCCTTCATGACGATATCAAATAATAAATAAGTCATCTCTATGAGCAAGAGTTTTCTTGAGCATCTTTAAAAACCAAAGCCATGTCTCCTTTCGTTCAGTGTCACAAACACCAAATGCTAACGGGGAATATCTGGTCATTAGCATCCTGAGCACATGTTGTTAATAAGGTGCCCTTATAAGAAGCCTTCATGAAAGAACCATCAATAATAAGGACTGGAACACAGTGTTTCCAGCCTTTAAACCATGGACGTAATGACATGAAAAAATACTTAAAACGTTCATCATAATCAATAACAAGTGAGATCTTTGAGTCTGGATTTTTTTGTCCTAGAGCATGTGCAATGGATGACATAAGCTGGTAAGACTCCTCATCTGAACCCATTAATTTCTTTTGAGCCATTTTGTTCGCATTCCATGCTTTTTTGTAAGTAATAATAACACCATAATCTCTATTCATGTCCACCATAATATCAATATGAGCATACAGTTTTCGAGATGCATCTGCATACTGGTGCTTAATAAGTGACGAGCACTTTGACACGGTGCGTCAAAATAAATCGATACTAACACTTATACGTAGTATAGTGTAGTAGAGTTCGTATGCACAGGGAAATGAATAATTCTCTTTTTATAAAACTAGTAAATAAAAGGGGGGTTTTAGGATTGAGTGATTTAATTTAATTAAACACGAAGATGAACGACTTATATGTGATTTAATTCAAGAATAAAGAGAACTTGGCTTTGCTACTTTCCACTTGTTGATATATTTATTCGATCATCGGTATATCTATAACTTATCCCCTCTCGAATACTCAATCGAGGAGTATATCCAATTCATCGAGGGTAGTTATTAACAACGACCGTTCATTAATAACCCTTACTATTAGTCAAGTATAGAACGCCGCCATATACCAACTTGATAGTAGCATCTAACCTCTTAACTCCTTGATGAAATCAATTGAGATTGATAACCTCAACACAACGGTTTCGGCTTAACCAACAAAATTAATCCCTCTTAAGTTTATTAACCACGACCATGCATTAATAAACCGAAATTACTTACTTGTGAAACCATCAACGATTAACCATCGGTTCGTTGATCATTTCTAGTAGTAATTAATGTCGAGATGTTAACTAATTCTCATCTTAGCAACATTCCTCAACATTAATATAGAGATAGATTAAGGGAAGAATTAATATTCAAGGGAAAAAGTTAAGAAAATGGAAGTTTGGCTCCTCATTTGGAGACTAAACATGCTAGAAAAATATAAAGAAATAATATTCTAAACTGAGCTTAAGTCAGTATGTGAATTGGTGAATAAATGAGAAGAAAATGGGGTGTATTTATAGGTGTTTGGAGCTGTCAGGCCATTTACCCGACCAGGTTTTTGAGAAATCCGATCGGGTTTCTTGAGTAAGACAAATCTTTACCAAATTTTTGCCTGCACGTTAAATTGCCTCCAAATCAGATTTGATTTTCGGATCAAGTCAATACCCGATCGGGTAAATGCTTTACCCGAACAAGTAAATGACTATTTTTCCAAAATTTCACTTTATCTTGTTCCCTTTCACTTTCCTTGACCTTTCTAAGGATCCTCTTGATGATCTTCACCTAGTCAAAGCTCAGAATAAACCTAATCTAAACAAATTACAAACAAAATAGGAAAAATAAAGTATTACACCAAAAGTGTGTAATTTCCCAAACAACAACAAATAAAACTAATTAAAATTACAAACATAAATAATAACAATTCTATACTATCAATAAGCTCTGCAATAACACCAGATGTGGCTTGACGATGTCGACCTTGTCTAAAGTCAATGGAGCATGTATGATCAGAATGGAACCTGAAAACAGTAAATGACATTAAGTAGACAATAAAAAGACTATAACTAGTCAATAAAGCAAAAAAACAGAAGACAAATACCTCCTAATTTGGAACATGTGACTTCCAGACAACTTCACTCCACGAACAGCCCAGATGCAATTCTCTACATCAACACAAATAACATGCAATACTTTCTTGGTTGACTTTTTGGTCTTATATTGAAAATGATTCGAAATGGCATAGACCTTTAAATGGTAATCCAAAGCCTTTTTGTTTTGTATACAACATGTTTGGCTATATGAGTTGGATGGAAGTGAGAACTGACTTTAAAATCAGGAACCACAAAGAATGAATCAAAATGACCATCTGAATGCAAATTAATAGCTTCACTTGAAGAAGTATCAGTAGAACTCCTAGAAATTATTAAATCATGTTCCAAATGATCAAAATGACAAGTTGAATTTGAGACTTGATTAGAATATGAATGTGTATCTTCCAAAGGCATTGACTGATTACAATTGGGGATTGAATGACTAAATTCAGCGGAAACACTAATACCATTTGACTAAGCATCAAGTGAACCACTGGCAGAAGCATTGAGATCAATTGGAAGAAAATTGGGAGACATATCTTGTCCTAGAACATTAATCACTGCTGACTTGGAAGGAATATTAAGATCAATTGCAAAAGCCTCACAACACATTGGTTGATTTACAGAAGAATGGACAGTAAACAATTCAACACACAAAGGAAACTTAGCATAGTCATTGTCAATTTTTTTTAAAGCCAAGTAAAATCCCAAGCTAGAATCGTCATTAACAAGAACAGGAGGTGGACATGAATCTACAAGGTAAGACATTATAAGCCTTGTATTGGTAACAGATTCACCAATACATGAGTAAACCATGGAAGCAAAGTCAACATATAATGTCCCGTCATGTACTATTAAGCCAAAGCGTTTGTTACAGAAAACGTATGAGTTGTCCCAACTGCCATCAACCTTAAGCATAAGCAACATATTTGCAATCACTGTGAATACAAAAAATCAAACACAATATGATATTAACAACATCATACAAAATGATTAATGAACTAATAATCATAAAATTGTTGTTATAACTGAAAACACTAACACAATAAGTGCAGTCAAAAAGCAAAACAAAACCGAATTGTAATGAATTACTCAAAAACAACACATATATGGCAAACACATAACAACATAATAACTACATTGAAAATATAGTGCATCAACTAAGTAAGCATGAGCTTATACATTAGAATCTATAGTTATTTAATAAAATACAATATTCAGACTAATTGGACAAAGAAATCGAGGATAATACAAAAGTCACATACCAAACTCAAAACAAGAAACTGCACGCAGAAAATTAAAAATAGACATAGTAGAATAATTTTGAAATTTTGACAAAGACGATAACAACAAAACTAAGAACAACATCAATATAAACAATTTTCGTTCATATCCAATATTCAATTGAAATTGTAAAAGTTTGGCAACTTTGTTCGAATATTACTTACAGAATTTTGAAGATTAACGTCAAGAGGAGAAGAATTGTGAGTGTATCTTTGGAATTCGCCGGAAATTGGTTGAGATTATGCTTGTAGAGATTCGACGTCAATTTGTCGAATTCAACTACACCTGAGGAACGGTGCGGAAGAACAGAGCTGACATGCTGCGAAAGAAGAAAACCATTGAATGAACTCCTTAGCGGCGGAAGTTATTTTCATTGAATGAAGTCGTTAGCTACGTACGTTATTTTAACTTATTTTAACTTTGAAGGGCAAATTTGAAAAGTTATAATTAAATTTCCTCATATAGGGGGTGTTTGGAACTGATTCTGCTTCTGCTTCTTTTTTAAAACAGAAGCAGAATCAGAATCAGTTTTCAGAAGCTGGTACCCCCTAACTTCTAAAAAAACTGATTCTGAGAGTAAATTAGAGCACCAGAAGTGCTTCTGGAATTTCATCCAAACACTCCAGCTTCTGCTTCTGCTCTCTGAAGGAGTAGAATCAGTTTTGAGAATCAGATCCAAACATCCCCATAGAACTAAATAGGTGATACGAATAGAACAAACATTAGCCAGTTCTCTTTTTGTAAAAAAGATTTGGTGACGGAAGCAAATTTCTCCTCCATCTCTCCTTCAATTTACAAAACAGCATTTCAATCTTTTTGGTAATTCAATATACGTTTGACGACACGGCTACATCAAGTACGTAGTATTAATTAAAACAACAACACCATTAAATGGCAAAACCTAATTTTTGCAAGCCCCCAAATATTGTACAACAATAATTGACGAATTGCGTAACTCGTTATATTAGTTTGAATCCTTCTCAACAGCCTCACTGAAAACTGTAGGGGTTTGACAAAATTGAAAGAGATCCGAATAAAATCACACTAAATAAAATCAAAATTGACCCAAATCAAACCGAATAAAATCGAAATGGATAAAACTCAATCAAAACGTGTTAAAATCTACTAAAACTGTTACCGATCGATCGAAATTAACCGAAGCGAAACTGATCTAATGTGATTTAAGAAATGTGTTGCATTACCCGCATGGGTAGCTCAGTTGGTTGAGTTGTGAGACATTTGGATCAATAGACCAATGTTTGAATCCCCACTGCGACTGGGTGGAGGTTACATAACTTGAAATAAAGTTGGACCTCTGGTGAGCACGGGTGTATGACCTACTGCCACTTTACTGACTAAATCACCGTGACTTACTCATTCACCATCATACCGGGTCGGGGTGTGGGGACTCCTGGGGATGGGAGATTCCACCTTTTGGATAAAAAAAATGCATTGCATTGTCGTTTTCACTTTTTTCAAAACCAACCAAGTAACCAGCTGAACATCAAATGGATAAAACTGAAATTCACTAGTCTAAACCTTTGCCCATTGAGCTAGGAGTAAATTAGTATGAATCCTACGTACATAAATTTGACTGAATGCCTCTAATCTAGAGTGCTTAGTCCCATCATGCAAGTGGTAATTCATAGGACCACACCCAAGGTGGGCGGTGCGTTTGAAAGGGTGTGCCGTACAACATCACAGCACAACTTACTATGAGGGAGTAGTAGAATATTTTTTGAAACTCATTGTGCTTCTGGTTATTTTTTAAAGTAAAAGCAGAATAGAATAAGTTTTCAAAAGTTAGTCTCCCTCATCTTTTAAAAAAACCGCTTCTAGGAGTAAATTAGAGCATCAGAAGTACTTCTGCACTTTCACTCAAACACTCCAACTTCTGTTTCTGCTCCATAAAGGAGTAGAAGCAGTTTTAAGAATCAGATTCAGGGGGTGTTTGGATCTGATTCTTAAAACTGCTTCTGCTCCTTCAGGGAGCAGAAACAGAAGCTGGAGTGTTTGGGTGAAAGTGCAGAAGTGGTTCTGCTACTCAAATTTACTTATAGAATCGGTTTTTTAGAAGCTAGGGGTGACCAATTTCTGAAAACTGATTCTGATTTTGATTCTGCTTTAAAAAAGAAGAAGAAGAAGAAGAAGCAGAATCAGTTCCAAACACCCCCTCAAACACCTCCTTAGTAATCACTCATTTTTGTTGTACACACTCTTATACCCACCTTATACCACCATGTTCGTGAAGTTTTTTTTTTTGTTTGTTAATCCGATTCACAAACAAAATAATTTTCACAGACATATTTTGTCTGTGAACTTGATTCAAAGATAAAAAAGTGAACTTTGCACAAATATGGTGGGTACAAAAGTGACTATAAGGATGAGTACAAACACCTTTTTTGATTGGATATACTTCACTCTTTTGTACTGGGAGACTCTACCTGGATCCAATGTACGTTAGATAATCTTTTATTGTGGGTGTAGACAATAATTGATGGGAAGAATGAGTTTGAAAGTATTTATTATTCAATAATGCTCTTTGTACACACAATTGCACCCACCCTATACACACTATAAAAGCCCCCAAAAAAATTACCCCCACTTTTCCCTCCTCCCCTTTTCCCCTCACCTCACTCGCATAACTCCCTCACTCCCCCCGTTTCTTGAAAATCAAAACACCCGCCCCTCCTCTCTTCTTCCTTCGACGATCATAAGCACAAGCAAAGATAATTTCTGATTTTACTTCCTCCACCATGGATTTTTACATGGACGAGAGCATGGTGAGAAACGACCCTGAGTTTTGGGGCTTGTTGAATGCTGTTCCCGGAGGTGGAGAAGCAGGATACGCCGACGGACCTGGAGAACTCGACGGTGACGACATGACTTGCGGAGGCGGGGATGGGTCTGGGCAGAAAGCCGGAGGTGGAGAAGTTGATGGACAGAAAGCCGGACGTGGAGAAGGTGACGTTGAGACGGACCTAGGCGGAGAGGATGAAGGACAGACGTCGCCGGCGGCCATGGACGTTGTTTCTGACCTTGGTAGGACTTCATCTCATGTTTTTAGTAGTTTAATGAAGATTATAACAGCTTTCTTCTCACAGGCATGTTCTTATGTGTTTATGTGTATAATTGTTTGTGTACGTAAATAGTGGTGGATACACAATGTGTCTGTGTACCCCTAAGTTAGTTTCAACTGATGCATATGTTTCTTCAAAAATTATACATCATGTGAAAGTTTAAAATTGTCTGTGCTTACCCCTTAGTAGTATTCAAAGTGTCTATGAAGCTTTAGAATTGTCTGTGTCTGTGCAAATATCACTGTCTGTGTGTACTAAATTGTTTTAAACACATGCAAACGTTCGGTGACACATGCAAGTTGTAGAAGGTGTCACTTGTTTATGTGTGTGTTTGTTTTTGTATGAAATCAGTGGAAGACTGATTTGCTTGTGTAGTATTCAACGGGTATGTTAAAGTTTGGAATTGTCTGTGTGTGCATATATGACTGTCTGTGTGTAAGTTTAAGTGTGTTGAAATGCATCAATAAATGAGCAATTTACCATAACAGATGGAGAAGGGTTGGTAAAGGAGAGTGAACTTGGTACAGAGCCAGAAGTTGGTATGGAGTTTGAAAGCAGAGAAGCGATCTATGAATTTTACAAAGCATATGGGAAGCGTTTGGGATTTCCTATAAGAACTAGGAGCACAACAAAAGACAAAAGAGGAAGAGAGATTGTGTCAGTTGTACTGGAGTGTTCGCGGGCTGGTCATAGAGGTAGTCAGTCAAAAAATCAATTGAAGCCCCAACCTTCAATGCAAATAGGGTGTGGAGCTAGACTACGTGCGCACGTAATTTATTCGGGACTTTGGCAAATTTCAAAAGTGTTTCTACAACATTCACATCCTATGAGTCCAACAAAGGCTAGACTATTTCGGTGCCATAGGAGGATGACGCATGGAATGGCGAGGAAACTTGCAATAAATGAAGTTGCGGGAATACGACTTAATAAAAGCTTCACCGCGGCCGTTGTTGAAGCCGGCGGATATGATCAACTTCCCTTCATTGAAAAAGATTGTAGGAACTATATAGATAAAGTGAGACAACTTAGGCTAGGTAGTGGCGATGCAATTGCCATTCAAGGTTTCTTTGCTAAAATGCAAGACCAATGTCCCGGATTTTTCTTTGTAATTGACTTAGATGAGGAGTCAAGATTGCGTAATGTATTTTGGGCCGATAATAGGTCTAGATATGCGTACAAAGAATTTGGAGATGTCATAACATTTGACACAACCTATCTTACGAATAGGTATGACATGCCTTTTGCACCATTTGTCGGGGTAAATCATCACGGGCAATCATTGCTAATGGGATGTGGATTAGTCTCTAACGAAGATACACAAACCCAAAATTTCTTGCAAAGTTTGCAAAGTTGTTACCAACTTCAGGAATTTCTTCGTAAGCCCACACCTATAGACATAAGAATAAACCCAAAATACATTTATTCATTGTTAATTGAACACATTGCCCGAGGTAAATTAATATCCATACTTATTCAAAATATAAATTCAAATAGTTCAAATTTCACAGTTATATATATACAACTAAATGTATATATATAGTTATAGTCACATATATGTTATCATTCAAACAGTTATTCAAACGAATATTCAAACTAAATTTAACATAGGTATGTGTGTGTGTGTAGTGAATTTATAAGTTATATATTCAACTAAATATAACAGTTATATCTATACAACCTGGATTAACATTTATAGTTATTCAAACTATAAATTCAAATAGTTCAAATGGGTAGAATGTTCAAATTTAACATGTAATTAATATCCATAGTTATTCAATCAATAGTAATATATATTTATCTCCTATATATAAATAAATAAATAAATAAGTGGAATAGGGAAGTTGTCATATATACCTGCAAAACTAGTGGAAAACCGTACAATGATAACTTCGCATTCTTATAATTAGGATTGGCCTGCTTTTTTTCCTTGAACTTCTCAGGTTGGTCATGCATCAGGTCCTTCATATGCTTCACTAATATCTTGTACGAACGAAGTGACCACGGACACTTCCTGAATGCCTCTAAATCATTCACCAATCTGATTGATGATGCATTTATCCTCGTAGTGTTGTCCTTTGCTAGCAAAACGCACTCAATGTAGTACAACGAGGCCAACTTCACAGCATCCATCGAATCAGCACGTGTGGAAAACCTCAGATTCTTTAATCTATTCTTGAAAGTCACGTGGGTAATGTCAACTTTGTCACCCAAATATTTATGAGCAAGTGCCCCAACTGGTTCATGTTCTTCGGCAGAATCGTGTCCAGAATCATGTCCACCATCCTGTTCAGAATCTTCTTCCGCAGCTGCTTCAAGTTCTGGTTCAGCACCGTGTGGTAATCCACTTATGTAGCAAAAGTCCACATAAGTAAACTTATACAGTGTACCCCCAATGGCAAACCACAGCTCATCATCCGGTTGCTCCTTCACTAGGTGTAAGGCCAGCATGTGCAATATTTGCCCAGAATTGTCTGTCTCTGGGATGTCAATCAGATGCCCCCATGGTAAATCCCTAAACACTTCCCTTTGTCTTTCAGTTAACCTCTTTTTTACCCATTTGGCTGCATTTCTAAAGTCTGAACACACAGAGTACTGCGCGGGGAAATACTCGTCACTCGGAATGTGTAACTTCAGCCGACTGGCAGTTGAACAAACATAAATGTCAAACATAAAATAACACCCCACATGAAACTTATGCCAGCACACACATAACTTATAAACATAGACAAAGGAACTACACTATAATAGACACAATTTCATTCACAGACAATAACTAACACTCCAAATGAACCAGACCACTACACAGCCAACTTATGAACTCCAAATGTACATTATTTGATCCACAGACAATAATTAACAACAAATTTACTTTACACCACCACACAGGCAACTTATAAACATGAAACAACACAATTATACTATATCACAAACACAATTTCATTCACAGACAATAATTAACGCCTAATGAAGATTTCACCACCACACACACACCTTACAGACATCAACAAAGGAAGCATACCATATCATACATAAGTGTTGATTCAGAGACAATACTTCACATATTCACAGTCTATAAACCAGCCCACAGTCAAAAAAATATAACCCTAAAAAAAAAAAAGGTTAGGAAATGATACATACTCCGCCATCTCTGACAGTGGGGTTCGCACCATTGGTGAGCTTCGTCGTCCTAAACAAGTGCGCGACGATGGGGCCTCCTCGCTTGAAACCTCAAATCGCTTGGACAGGGCTTCGATTGAGAAGAGTTACACCAGAAGGGGGGGAGCGAGCGTCGTTCCGGAGATGGCTGCCGGTTCACACCTCAAACGCAGAGACCTCATGGGGATATGAGTGACAAGTATGGGGGAGAGGAGTTTCGACTCTCAAGGGCGGCGGGTGTTTTGATTTTCAAGAAACGGGGGGAGTGAGGGAGTTATGCGAGTGAGGTGAGGGGAAAAGGGGAGGAGGGAAAAGTGGGGGTAATTTTTTTGGGGGCTTTTATAGTGTGTATAAGGTGGGTGCAATTGTGTGTACAAAGAGCATTATTGTTTATTATTACCACTTTGTCTTTTGCGACAAATCATTCATAACCACTCCACTTTCTTTCACGTGCAATTGTTCTTGCATTTACCTTTGGCATTTTGTGTAGGGTTCAGTGGCCTCCCCACTGTTAATTAATGGTCAAGTGTTTTAAATATCTAGCTCCTTCCGCTGGGGAATGCTTAGCCCAGGTCTATTTACCCCAACAAAATGAATGGGACCAAGTAAATAATTTTATAATTTCCAAAAAGAGATTATGGGAGTTTCTAGAGATTAGTAGCTGATCACCCAATGACATCGTGTCATGATATAGATAAAGAAGGAAAACCTGCACAGGTCACAGCGTATCTGTATTGGATTGAGCTTCTAATACGCATGGATATAAGATCTATCACGATTAAGAATAGTTGGATCATTGTAATTTACAATCACTCATTATACTCATATGCTTTATCAGCTCGGGACTTGGTGGTCTTTGAGGTCGTGAAATTCAACCTTTTTGGACAATAGATAAAGAAGGAATTAGACCTGACCTTAGAAGCTGTTCTCTTCGCCTGATCTGAATGTTTGAATTTTTTAAGTTCTGATCTGATCTGATCTGAATTTTTCTGATCTGATCTGATCTGATCTGAATCTTTCTGATCTGATCTGATCTGATCTGAATCTTTCTGATCTGATCTGATCTGAATCTTCCTGATCTGATCTGAATGTTTCTGATCTGGTCTGATCTGATCTGAATGTTTCTGATCTGATCTGAATCCTTCTGATCTGATCTGAATCTTTCTGATCTGATCTGATTTGAATATTTCTATGATTATAATTATAATTATAATTATTATAATTGCAATTACAAATATAACTTAAATAAAATTATAATTATAATCGTAACTATAATAATAATAATAATTAAAATTAAATTTAAAATGAAAAAATTTATACATATTACACTAATTATAAATATAGATATAATTATAATTGTAATTATATTTTTAATTATAATTACTTATATAATTATAATTGTAATTATAATTACAATATTTATCTCTATAATTGTAACTATAGTTATCAATATTATTATAATTACTCCGTAAAATAATTACAATAGTAACAATAATAATAATATTAATAATTATAATAAAAATAATAATTATAATCATAAATTATAACTATAATATAATTATAAGTATATTTATAATTAATAATAATTATAATTATATTAACATTAATTATATATTATAATATTATAATAGTAATATAAATACAATTAATATTATTATAAGGATATTATTATATTAATATTATTATTACAATAACATAATAATAATAATAATAATAATATTAATATTATAATTAGTATTATATTATTATAATATTATATTATAATTATAATTATAATCATAATCATAATTACATCATAATTATAATTATTATAATTATAATTAATTACAATTATAATTATAATTAATTATAGATATAATTATAATAATTACAATTGATATACTTATAATTATAAGAATTATAATTGTAAGTATAATTATAATTACATATAATTATAATATAATATTATAATAATATTAATCATATTATTATTATTAAAATATTGTAATAATAATAATGGTTTTCTTAATAATTGCATTTATATTACTATTATTATATTAAAATATTATAACTATATTAATATCTTATTTTTTTTATCATATTATTATTAATATTATTAATAATAATTATATAATAATAATCATAATAGTAATAACAATATTAATAATAATAATTAATATAATAATAAAAGTGATAAATCATGTTTGAACTTTTCTGATCTGATCTGATCTGAATGTTTCTGATCTGATCTGAATGTTTCTGATCTGGTCTGATCTGATCTGAATCTTTCTGATCTGATCTGAATCTTTCTGATCTGATCTGATCTGATCTGAATTTTTCTGATCTGATCTGATCTGATCTGAATTTTTCTGATCTGATCTGATCTGATCTGAATTTTTCTGATCTGATCTGATCTGATCTGAATAAAATAAGAATAAGTAATAAGTAATAAGAATAAGACGAACAGAACAGCACCTTAATTAGTATGAACATGAATTTGTATAAATGAAAAGCAGATGAATTTGTATAAATGAATAGCGGTCACAAATATTTTATGTGGAGCTGGAGTATAAAGAAATTATAATGCCAGGGTTAAAACTTAATATTTACCTTTCAACATACTCCCTCCGTCCCTAATAAAACTTCCAAATAGGTTTGGCACACAGTTTAAGATAGTGGGTATTGTGTGGTGGAGAGTTGTGCAGAGAGAGAAATGTGTAAGAATTGCTGTGAACCACAAATTCTAGTCAAAAAGGGAAAGTGGAAGTTTTAATTGGGACAGACATAAAAGGAAAGTTGGAAGTTTATTTAGGGACGGAGGGAGTATCTTTTATTATAGTTCACATATTCCAAAACATAAAACTTCCCCGTCCGTTAAGAAATCGAGTAAAGTAAGGTACAAAGCCCACATCTTCAATGAGTAGTTTAACCCAACATTGTTCTTAACTCCAACTTCTTTTGATTTTCATTTTGTGATAATGCCAAGATATATTACAAGCCGTATAATCTGAAAAGGTTCCGTACCGGTATAGATTACACCATAAAATTGTTCATAATTCATTTTTTATGCTACTAGATCATGTCATATCACGTTGAAACTGTTTCAAGCTAGTGTACATCTATTCAATTTTCACTACTTCACTGCCCAAGCAAGAAAAAGGTTTGTGCATGTCTAGCGTCATGTTAGACCATTTGGAGGGGTCATACAGTCTAAATGTTCAAAAATGACTCCGTCCATTTGAAAACAGTCAATATTTCTCCTATTTCTCCTATTTCTCTGCATTCCAGCACCGTAAATAAAATACACTTTGCACATTTTTTTACTTATCAATTTCGTAAAACATTAAATAAATTATTATAAGTAATGTTTTAGTTTTAATTTTTTCTCTGATTAATTATAAAATAAAAAAAGACACATTTCGATGTAAAAATAAAAAAATTTCATTAATTTTTTTTTACGTTTTTGGATGATGTGAGTTTAAACACATTGGACAAAATATTAATTAAAAACATTTGAAAAATAAAATAAATTATTTTAACCGTTGGATTTCAATTTCAGCCGTTAGATCAATCTTTTTCCTGTTCAAACAGTGTCCAAATCATCACACCCGTTGGATCTACCAATTTTTTTAAAAAATATAACCAGCTACCATTGTGAGTGCTCCGTGACATTAGCATGACGTCTGGGTGACGTCATCTGCTTCAAATAATTCCTACGCACACCTGACTTGGCCGCCCCACTTCCTTTATATTTTCTTTTCCATTTAATTTTAGGGACTCAACTCCACCCTTCAAATGTAGAACCCTCCATCCCATTACCCATTTTTACTCCCCTACATTGCCAACCACTACAATGAATTAGGAGTCCAAAAAATCCATTTTTAACATTTTGGACTCCTAATCCTACACCACTTCAAGTGGTCGTAGTGAACAAATTGATTTACTCGATTACTCGATTCCAAATGATGCACCATTCTTGGCACACTGGAGCTTTCAAAATTGTTCACAAACTAACGTTTGTTCCATCATTTTCAATGTAGCCAAAGACTTACTACTTTTGGCTTTGAAATATGATGGAATAAAGCAAAATGACTCAATAAACTAATCGCATTTGTTTGTTATAAACATTAGTCAGTCCATCAATTTTCGACATGATTTTCATCATTGATCATTCGGAAAACAGTCTCTTTGTGATTTAGTACAAGAGTAAGGTCACATACATCCGTTCATCTTTACCTCCACCAAAGGTTGGAGCCTTTGCAGCTCGCAATATATCTTGGCAATATCACAAATGACCGCAGCATCCTAGGCATAGACTTCGCCCGGGCCCGACCTTTAGGCCCGGTGCCGGTTACGGTTTTTGCTACCCGGCCGGGCCTTGGTCTGGCCCGAGTAAGGTCTATTTGAATTAAAGGATATTTTTGAATTAGTAGCCATTAGACCCAGACCGGGCCAAGACCGGCCAATCCACCAAAATGCATGCCCAAGGCTTGTCCTGTAACTCCGCTGCTCCGGGTACCGGGTCGGTACTGGTCCCGAGCCAATACAAACAATACCGGGCCCAGGTCGGATCAATACAAACAATACCGGGCCCACTCCATCCCTACTGCATCCCCCAATTGTGATTTTATTTTCCTTAAAAAAACTGATAAATTTTCACACTTATTTTGATTGTTGGCCTTTTAGGTAAAAAAAAAATCCGGAACCAATCTATTTCAAATTCTCAATGATGCTTTAGAGGGATAAAAACCATTTTGAATCAAATCCCAATTCCAGAGCCCAAAAACCTGTTAACATAGCGGGCAAAAGTCCATCCTGTTTTTTTTTTACCAGACCCAGCCCCATAACTAGAATGAAACAATACAATTGAGGCAAGTGAAGAAGGAAACATGAATACATGAAGTAGTGTCCTGAATTAGGAATACACATTCCCTAGTGCCAACTGTCAACTTGTGAGTAGTTGTATCAGCTTACAACGTCCATAGGTTATATATGCCCCACAAATATCTGACTTCTCTCAAAAAAAAAGGATGACACCCCATCCCTGAGGGCCCCCCACCACCGACCGGACGGCACGATGGGAGGATGTAAATTGGACTATAATCACAATCTGACAGATAGAGAGTGGGGCTCTGTCCCCAGTACTTGCAGAGACCCTATGCATTTTTCAGCATAGTAACCCCTCATCGCAGTTGCCGGGATTCGAACCCGAGACCTAACCCTTGTGGCACTCCCTTGCTACCAGTTGAGCTACGCCCACCGGTAAATATCTGACTTCTCTCAAAAGGATACTTAGAGTTGCTGTAAATGACATGTCTTTGCTCCCAAATAAGAGAGATTCATCTCACAGTGGAAAATGCAAGAAATGAACCACATTCCACCAACGCATGAGTCAAGAATGTTTCTCCTTGTCCCACACCGGATATCAACAGCCGTGGAAACAATTCCATCAGACCCACCAACCAATCATGTAACCAATAAAGTGTTTAGTGTGAAAACATGCCACTTTCTAGGATGATAAGCAAGTAAGCAACACATTACAAGAGTTTTGGCACTATACAAAATAGGGTAACTAAGGTGCCAGCACAGTTATGCATATCTTTGAGCACATGTACAAAATAAGCAGTTGAAGTGCTAATACAGTTATGCATATCTTTGAGCACATGTACAAAATAAGAACAAGAATGTTAGCAAAAAATGGAGAATAGACAGATGAGATCTTGCTGCTTGCTTCCATGCTTCCAAGATACAATGATGATTAATCACTTCCTTTCTCATAAGAATCAATCTTAGTCCCACCAAAAGCAACATAACTGTCCTGAGATCCAAACTCCTATTTAAAACACCCACATAAACATGAAAGTATTATAAAATTGCAGCCAGATTTCGCACGTTCTAGAAAGAATGCAAAAAAGAGCATAGGACATGTTTCGTATTACTGTTGGTTTTATGTCTTGTGATTTAAAAAATGTCAATTTTAAGAAACTATTTGGTAAGATTAAATTGGCTGGATATGCTGAAATTGTCGTTGGAAGAATTGGTTGAATGATGAAAAATATATATTTAAAACATATTTCATTGATAAGGTAATGAAAACGATATACGGGAAAAACTAAAAAATTAACTCTTTAACGAATAGAGCTAATTCAGGAAAATAAGTAACTCAAACTTTTCTCTTTTAATTATAAATCAATTTAGTGTGTCAAATAAAATAACAGTGGTTGGTAAAAAATCTTGCTACAAAGGCATTAAAACCGCCAAAGAAAAGAAAAACTAAAAAACCATAGCATTCAGGTTCATAACTTACAAGCTGGCTTAGCCGAAAGTCAGGCGGTGTGTCTTGAACTATAGCTTGAGAGTCAATGCCCACATAATCTTGGCTGTTCTCTATGTGTCCATCATCAAGGATCAACTCTTGGCACTGCTCAAGATCCTTTTTAAATGTCTCTTTGTCCAAGTGTCTATAATCAGAAAGCCCGGGTGTGCCCTTTTGCTCATTACAACCATTTTCGCCTCCATCCCTGTTTGGAGATTGGCTCTGAAGAAATTCGTCAACTAAGGAAAACCCTTCTGCTAGCTGTTGTGTATCTAATATATATGCTTCACTATCCCACACTTCATTCTCATTTTGCACCTCCAACTTCTCAGGTTGGCTCCCTGAGGTTTCCTCTAGATTGATATCCTTAAAAGATGGAATCTTTGTGTAAGCCTCTGTGCAATTCATTACCTTCTGCTGAATGTCAAGGGAGTGTGTGTGAATACATGAAGAGCCAAATAAGCCTGTATTTACTTGTTCAAAATATATGTGAAGAATACATACAACAAAAGAATTATTCAGTCTAAATTATAAAAAGAGACTTAAATTAGTTTTTGAGATCTCCCAAGACCGAGGCTGAGATGGAAAACTGTAAATGATGGAATGAATTAAGGGCCCCTTTGGTAAGGATTATTTGTCTGAAATGGCTGGAATCTGTCTAAAGTAAAAAGAGTTCGATAACATCTATGTTAACCAAATAAGGTCATACCGATTATCAAACTTTATTCACTCTGCTAAAGTTAGCAAACAGGGCCTGAATGGTATGTATAAAAAAACTTTGGGAAAACTGCAGAAAGAGTTTCAATTGCAGTAGATGAAATGACTAGCTCTTCATGCACTATACATGTGTATATAATGGCACCTGAGTATGCCTACTGTGTCTCCTACATTGTTTTATTTCTTGTTTCCTAAACAATGCTTTTTAGCTAGTCTAACGCATCGCGATATTTTATTATCCTTTTGTTAATTACTCTCTCTGTTTCACATTGGCCGACAATCTGACATTTAAAACCTTATTAAGCACTAAGATCTTTAGAAACTTAGTAAATACCCTAAAATCTTGCAGAAAGTAGCGCTTACATAAACCAACCTTTCGTAGAACTGTTTGATACTCCCTCCATCCCATTTATATTGTCCCGTTTTACCTTTTCGGGGAGTCCCACTTAAATTGTCCCATACCATATTTGGCAAAGTTTGTGTGGTTCTAAATCATTCTTACTTTATTCTTACTTTATCAATTAATATCAACCACACAAACTCACTTTTCTTAATAACCGTGCCACCCTCTTCCGTCCCAATATAAATGGGACGGAGGTAGTATTAAGTTATTCGAGGAATGATATGGAGAATGACAAAATGGAAAACTTGTATTAAATGCTCTCTTGGTTTTATAAAGAGAAAGATATTGTGCAACATAAAATAACCAACCAAAACTACACTACTGTGAAATAGTAATACTGATTCAATAGTGTGCTTGGCTTGGTTCTCAAATTTTATAAACAAACATACTGGTAGATGGCCTTACAAATTATTTATTGGTTCATGCAGCCCACCTTTGAAACTATGTTTTTACATATCTTTACTTTTAACTCTTTGGCTAAGATTGGCAACTAATAGGATATAAGTTATTAGCAACATAAAACTTATCGCTGATAAGGTAGCTTATATCATATATAGTGTGGTATGGAAATAAACAATAATATAAAGTGCACTTTTAAAATGCTTTTAAAAGTTAAGAGAGGGTAAGAATGGAAACATGCATGAAAGTTCATCAGGTTATTCGAAAAGCTACTCCAAGAAGCTTGTTAAATAATCTTAACCCAATCAAATACAGATTCTGTTATTAAGAATTTCAATGAAACAAATTTTATCTGAAACGATTCCCTTCAAAAAGGGAAAATAACTTTAAATAATGTCAACTATAATTCATAAACCAATAATAAGACATACTTAAGAAATAACCTTAAGCACAACCATTCTACCAATCATTTAAATATCATGCATATGATTAAAGGGCACTTTCCAACTATAAACTAGGTCATTTGACCCATCAAAAATTGATATCGACCCATCAAATAAGTGACTCCTTTTTAAAATATATGTAACACTTTATTTGATGGTTTGGCATTTGCTTTTTATGTGCTAAACGACTGGATTAGTAGTAGATAAACGGCTGTGTGTTATTTTCGTTACATATTCAAATAGTTGATAGTGTTTAAAGTGATTTCAAGGTATGTATCATCATTAGATTATGGGTGACAATTGGTACTACGTATCATTTAAAGTAAGATTCTGTAAAAAAAAAAAAGAAGCTAAAAAGCTTAATTAGAAATTAGCTATTGGCAATAATTAGTACTCCCTCCGTAACATTCATATCTTCCCAATTTCCTTTTTTGGACGTAACATTTATATCTTCCCATTTCTAAATCTTCTCATCATACCCTCAATAATTTAAAAAATAATACACTACTACACCTACTTTTTTTGGATTTATCCTTCTTTTCATCACATTATTTCACCATCTTCCCATCATACCCTCAATAATTCATACTCTATTTCACTATTCTTAATCTCACCCACTTTGGAAGTGGGAAGATATATCTGATACGGAGGGAGTATAAGCTTAATAATAAATCATAATTTGTTTTCACATATCATCATTGTCCATCAATACTTTTTAAACATGTGATAAGTCAAACATACCTCAACATTAGGGGTCTCCAGCACGGAAACTGAACTCAATGGTCTTCTTTCTAAACGAGCAGGTTCAGGAGTCTCAGTCTTTGGAGTATAAGGATCCATGATAGCATCCAAGGATTCAGGTTCTTCAGGAGATTCATGTTCCGCTCTCTCACTTTGTTTCACCACCTGCTGTTGCTGAAAAAACACTTTGGATATGACATATTCCCCTTCTCTTTCATCCTCTTGTGCCCCAAGATGATATTGGTGCATAACCCAATTTGTTTTTTCGGTGCCTTTCACTCCCTTGACCGAGGCCATGTAAAGAACCATTATCTTTTTACACCCTCTTTGTACACCATCCAAGAACACAGGTTTTGTCCTACCCGTCTTGTGCCACCTAAAATCTCCAACATTAACACCCTGTACCTTTCGGCGCTTCCGGGTACCGGTATTATATGCTTTGATGGCTCTGTGAAACAAATGTGTAATGCTTCCATCTTGCTTAACACCTAAATGGTTACTCCATCAGCAAACGTGAAGCTAAGGATGAATGAATGATTAGAACTTAAATAAGAGAAAATGATAAGTATGTGACTATAATAAAGGTAATGGACAAAAATGTGACTATTACATCATAGTGACCGATGGTATTTTCACAATGTCATATGTTTGTCCATAAAGTTTAATTTTAGTAATATTTTAGAAAATACCCTTTTAAAATAAATACCATGTGGGTAATATTTTCCTTATTTGAGATACTATAACAAAAGATTGTGAGAATAGAGGATAAGAAATTAATAGTTACCTGGTAAGTTTTGAGGATGAGTGTAACATATCCCGTCATCTTTATCAACTGTTGGAATGAACTCATCAATAAAAGGATGGGGTTTGAGATCATCATTTCCAACTTTTGCAAGTAAGTGCAAGATGATCTCTTGATCTGTTGGATCAAACTTCACACCTCTAGGCAATCCTGGCCATTCCTGAGTTACCTAAAATGACGATGCCCTACTTAAGAATAGATATAAAAATACGGAGTAAAAAAAAAGCACATAAGGTATTGCTATTCTTTTCATCTTTTATAATCTAACCCCAAGTTTTAATAGTTCTAACCTTTTAAAAGTCAAAAGACAATTACTTTTGTGGCAGAAGTTGAAAGCTCTTATTTACTACCACATATTGATTAATATATTTGATTCTCATTGCAATTTGAACAACATTGGATATCTTCAAGCAAGAGTTAGAATGAATGCGCTTAGCTTAAATCTAAGATAACAGTATCCAGTTCAAGCTGAGTATAAATCAAACAAAAGTATAGTAAAAAGTAACTTTTTAAACGAAAATCAACAAGTCAAAGATAAAGAAATTTACATCGCTGTTGTCAATGATATGGTGGCATTTGGGGCAAGTCCTTGAAGGGTTACTTTTCCAGTAAGCATTACCCGGATCACCTGATACATTTCTGATTTTTGTTGCTATCCTGTTCCCATCAACCAACCAAGAAGGTCTGCAAGTTTTAAAACAAACCATATGGGGTAAAATGCTTGAGTATATTCATCCCAAAGGAAGCACGTAAAATTTAGTAACTACCCTATCTACTGTCATTCCATCATGAAGATTGCCAGCGTCCAAAATCCGAGTGTAGCGCTCTAGTCATTTATTTATTACCAAAACCCATATATAGTAATCATAATCTGAAATAACAAAATAACCCTTCCCCTCTGAAACCCTTCAAAACCCAAGTTATGCATAATCAAATGGCCCTTTTAACCCGTTCAAAGATACAACTCTATTGGGAGAAAACCAAGAAATGCGAAATAAAAATATGAACTTTAAGTCAAGTTTTGACTTGAAGAGACCAGTCACTCGTAGAAATTTGTAATAATATCCAGCAGACATTGGAAATGAAGAACAAAGATACATTCTTGAGAATCTTGACAGTGGGATTCAATGAAGTGGGCTAAAGAAAATCTTTATGTGAATAAACATAACAATGATATAAAATACAGATTGAAAAGAGAAGAAGAGTAGCTGGATACCTGGCCATGGGAGCTCTGTTGCCGATTTCTGATGTGTTCTAGGCACTTTATGGATGCTGCCAAGAGTATGTACTCTGTCGGAGTTGGGGGTGTTTGGATTTCTTCCTCCTTACCCGAATGCGCTTATTCGAACTTGGAAGAGTTTAAAGTGCGCTCTGTTTTCAAATACCCCGTTTCCTTGATGGACACCCGTATTATTATTGTATTGTCCGTACGGAGTTTTATTGAGTGAATATATATTTCTGGTGGTTAGCATGTTTGTTATTGTTGGTCAAGATTCAAGAACTGAAATTCTGAAAATTTTAGGATAGTCACTGAAACAAATTTAATCTGAAATTCTGAAGTGGACCAAAGCTAACTAAAGTGTAGGGTTGTGCATATCGTTTTTTTTTTCGGTTTTTATCGGTTTCCGTTTGGTTTGGAACGAGTTGGAAGAATTATTACCAAACAAAAACCATACTATTTTCGGTTTGCTTCGGTTTGGTTTGGATTTGTTAATTTTTAATAAATATATTAAGGGTTTTTTGAATTTCTTTAATTCGATTCGGTTTTGTTCGGTTTTTATCAGTTTCGATTCGATAACCGACCTTGTGTTTAAACATCGCTTCAACTTACTCAATAATACTCAGGTCACACATCTTAATTTCACACACTAAAAACAATGGACCTCATTTCCTAACCAATATTCAGGTCAAGCACTATCATGTTTTTACTCTATTGAAAACTAACAATTAAAAGAAATAATGAGAAATATGAAGAAAAATTGTTCGGAATATAAATATGGTACGAAGTACTAGTATAAGTTTGTTGGATAATCGATACCCATACTGCATAAACAGCAGAGATTGAACAAAGAATGGAGAAGAAATGATGAAGAAGAAGGAAATGTGTATAGAATGAGTGTTGGTTATCTGAGTTACAAGCCTCCTATAAGGAGTATATATAGGGAAAATCCGGGTCTGGGCCTCTAATATGGGCCTGACAGACCCGGTTACATAAATGGACTGATAATATAAAAAGCTAATCTAGAACATCTGAATAATAATGATAATGTACAATAATATTAATGATATCCGCTAAACGTGTGTGGGCCGCTGTCCAGGCCTAGTAGTCGGCATACCGGGGGGTCGGAGTCCATATAATCCATCAAAGTTTTTACAAAAAAAGACATGTTTCCAAAAAAAGAAATGTTTAATTATCAAAAATTGAAAAATTATAAAAGATCGAAATTAGGAAGAATATGAAAATTAGCAAAAAGTTAAAAAAGAATATAAAAACACAACAAATGTGAAAAATTACGTAGTATATTTTTTGAATTTTGATGCAAACAAGAAAAATAAAATTTTGAATTGAGGAATGTACAAAAAAATAAAAAATCTAAATAATCTCAAATCTTAAGTATTACTTCGTATATAATATGAATATATCAAAGTAAAAACAATGAAATTATTAAATAATATAAAAAGAATATGGAGTAAGAAAAGTTCAAAACAAGGTTCACAAATTGAAGAAGAAATGATATAGAAGGGAAAATATAAAAATGTGGATGTATATGTTGAGCCACAAAATAATTGAAGGATTAAACAAAGGTGTGGTCTATGATCAAATATAAATTCAATCAGTCCAGTCCAGCAAACCATGAAATCAGATAAAGATGGCTGACTAAGTAAATGGAGCAAAGGATAAGCATTAGTAACCAACTCCCGAATCCGGCATAATAGAAGCTAAATATTCGGATCACTAAGACCATTTGTAGTGGTTATAGATTAGGAGTCAAAAGATTAAAAATGGAATTTTTAGACTCTTAATTTGGTATAGTGGTAGATTAAAAGGGGGAGTAAAAGTGGGAAGGGGAGTGGAAGAGTGTATAAATAGAGGGTTAGGTTGACATGGTAAAAGAAAAGGAAAAAGAAAAAAAAGAAGAAGAAAACGCGGCACTCTTCTGCCGTCTGCTCTGTTCATGGTTCTGGTGACATCACGATGATGTCACGCATATGTCATTAAAATCTCAATTAATTTTAAACTCTTATAACTTTTTTATTTATTCTCCGAATTTTTCAAAAATTATATCAAAATTCACGAATTTGTATGATCTTTCATATGACACCAATATGTAATATATAAAATGCAAAAAAAATAACTGTTGAAGTTTTTTTGAAACCAAAAAAACACGAAATACAAATTTTTAATTCATTGAGCCTTCACAAATATTAGCTGGATATTCCATAATCCAATTTTATCTGAACTATGTTCATTTTTTGTTAACAAAAAATCATAAAAAAATTAGTGAAATTTATTTTTTATTCGAAATGTGTATTTTTTATTTCATAATTATCCAGGGAAAAAGTTAAAAGGAAAATATTACTTATAATAATTTAATTAATGTTTTACTAAATTGATATGTAAAAAATATGCAGAGTGTATTTTATTGACGGTGCACGGATGCAGGGGAAAACAGTATTGACGGAGTCTAAACACTGTTTTCATATGGACGGAGTCCAAATTTAACAATTTGGACTCTTGACCACTACAAATGGTCTAAGAGCAACTACAATAGATGGAGTGCATTGCTACAAACACATGGCAATGAAATGGAGTGGGTCTAGAGCAAATGGAGAAGGTCTATTTGGAGTGTACTCCAATGCAGAAAGGGAACAACAAAAAAAATAAATGAAAAATTATTGAAAGGAGGAAGCTAAAAAAGTTACGTGCCAGTTCGATCCTTGCTTAGTTGAGTGTCAGAAGGTGGCATCAAAGGTCTATTTGTAGACCTTGTGCTGGACCTCCTCCCTTGCCAACTCATATTTTGAAGGTCCATTGACCTTCACATTGGAGAGTACATTTTACAACAAAATGTGCATTTGCTGACATGGAACTCCAATGCATCCCTGCATTGGAGATGCCCTAACTGCTCAAGCAAGGAGGACTCTTTGTAGTTATATACAAATGATAGAATAGCCTCAACGATGGGACATGTTCCTGGCATACATAAAATAATAATTCTTTATTACTCCCACTGTTGTAATTCTTGCCAGAAGCTTTATATAATTAATTTATATATACGAATCTGTATGCTTGCACTTGGATACCCATATACTAAATGTATGTAATATATTCTTCTTGCTTAATTTATATATCTTGATTCTTGTACGTATGTAGCCCAATTCATCTTTTTCATTTATTTGATTCTTTGGATTAGCACGAAAATTGCTAAAACAATTTGGCGCTGTCTGTGAGAATCGTGCAAGAAATATATTCTACAAAGAAAGAATCGATCATGGATGGAAGCATAAATCCTTTGTTGAGAGAATTTCACGAGCAACTGGAGGCTGCCAAGGAGGAAATCCGATGTGAAATGGCTTAGCGGATCACTTTCATCCAACAAGAAAACGACGTATTACGCTCTCAAATACAATCGGTGTTGTTGGTAGAAAATAACCTGGGTAGAGAATTTGGCAGCATTTCAGTATAGTGAGAATAGCTTCGCAGAAGAATACAAGGGGTTGGTGGCCTATTTATAGGCATACACAATAGCCCACCAATTAAGTGTTACATGGGCTTGGCCCGATTTATCAACTAACACTGACGCTAATGGGCCAGCCAACCCGATAAGTAATTAAATAATCTCGGACCAATATCCGCTAGCCAGCCTGTGTTCTGAGCTTGGTCGGGTCAAAGCTTGGGCGTAACGGGCCAATAGTCTTGGACCCGGCCCATTATCCCAACACGAGTCCCCACTCCCTTAGTCGAGTAGTAGACTCGGCTAAAAGGGAGTAGTTAAGCTGTTTTGGAATTGGTCCGGTTTTTTGTCCGGCCGGCCGGTCATTATCGAGCCTTGAATTTGATCCCATTGCTTGTGAAAGGATGGACTCTTCTTTGCTCCGACCGGGAGACCTCTTCCTTTGGTTCTTGATTAAGTGCCTGCCTTACTGGTAGGTCGAGATATGTTCCGAAAAGATCAGTCGCACGGTTGTTTGCCAGTGGTGTCGGTCGAGCCGAGGTATGCTTGGGAGAAGGCTGGTCGCAGTTGTATGCTGAGGATGGAGATCCGCGGTATGCTCGGGAGAGGCTAGTCACATAGATGTTCGCCGATGTTGGCAAACTAGGTATGCTCGGGAGATGTTGGCCACCCAGCTGTCCGCTGACGATGGACAACCGAGCTATGATCTAGAAAGGTCGGATGCAATAATGTCCACATTGATCCTCATTTCTTGCAAAAGGATAGGGTTTCCTCTGTCTGGGTAGCAGCCTGGGGTCTTGTTTGTCCGATTAGCAGCCCAGGGTCTTGTTCTTCTGATTAGCAACCCGGGGACTTGTTTGTCCAATTAGCAGCCCGGGGTGTTGTTTAAAACCAAGCAAACGGGTGAGCTCTCCGGCGCACTGCGTGCAGCTGCAACGGTCGCCATCTGCTGAGGGGATGGTAAAGACCGGTCTTCACTTGTGAGCAATGCTCGTCTGACATTTTCGGGAGGATGCAGTGAGTAGTCCACCATGATTCATCCTTAAGAGTGAGAGACCTGAGCTCGGAGCTTGGGTTGGCTCTCACCCACCAATAAGCCCATACGTAATTCATGCACTGTCATGCACATGCAACCTCGACCGAAAGATAGCCTTAGACGAACTTGACTTAGAGATAGCCCTGCACGAACTTGGACTGAGATGAGTGTGCGTGACTTGGTATGGATGGTGAGGTGATGATTATAGGCCTTGTCATGACCACGCACTTAGTTTGAATTTTGAAGCATGTTAAAGAAGAGCTTGAACCAGCGCTGTGTAGTCTAGGCTCAGGAGTGGATGGAGAAAACTGAGGATGCCATGAAGCTACACAGCTTCCCACGGAGCCAACGATCGGAGCATGTCTGAGCGTGGCGGCGACCAAGGATATGAAAGTTCCATTCGAACCTAAATCAAAGTAAGACCAGTTGAATGCATTGTCCCGGGATGCAGATCATAAGGTAGTTGTGGTGTTAAAGCCTCCCTAGTGATCTTGGAGTTCACAAGCTTTAGGCTCGAGGCCCGGCATCCGGAGCATGTCTGAGCTTCAATGATGTAGGAGATGAGGCAGTTGCTTTGTTCAAGGCCCAATACAGTTTCCAGAGCTTGTCACTTCCAGGATTGAAGACCGGTGTCCGGAGTATATCCAAGCTTAGCTGTGGACCAAGGAGGGT